AGTGACTACACGGAAGGCAGAGGACCTCCCGTTCCTTAAAGGCAGAGACGACACTAAAGTCACTACACATAATATTCCCTCCAAAACATCTAGACTCTAGCCCACCCTTCCGGAGAAGCAGAAATGAACCCTATTCTATGCACAGAGTAACAGGCAGGGACAAGGATGTCGCAAAAGATTACACAACGCACCAATAGCAGACAATGTCTCACGCCCAGGGAAGAAAGGTCGAAAGAGGGTAACTGAGGCTGGGCACGGTGGCTCACGCCTGTAATCCTAGCACTTACGGAGGCCAAAGCAGGGGGTGGATCACCTGAGGTCAGGAGTTCGAGACCAGCCTGGCCAATATGGTGAAACCCTGTCTCTACTAAATATATAAAAAATTAACCAGGCGTGGTGGTGGTTGCCTGTAATCCCAGCTACTACGGAGGCTGAGGCAGAATCACTTGAACCCAGGGGGTGGAGGTTACTGTGAGCTGAGATTGCGCCACCTCACTCCAACCTGGGTGAAACAGCAGAACTCCGTCTCAAAAAATTTTAAAAAGAGACTGGGCACGGTGGCTCACACCTGTAATTCTAGCACTTTGGGAGGCCAAGGCGGGTGGATCACCTGAGGTCGGGAATTTGAGACCAGCCTGAGCAACATGGAGAAGCCCAGTCTCTACTAAAAATACAAAATTAGCCCAGCATGGTGGCGCATGCCTGTAATCCCAGCTACTCAGGAAGCTGAGGCAGGAGAATCGCTTGAACCCGGGAGGCGGAGGTTGCGGTGAGCCAAGATCGCACCACTGCACTCCAGCCTGGGCAAGAAGAGCAAAACTCCATTTCAAAACGTTTTGAAAAAAGAAAGAGGGCAACTGGTTGAACAAGTGTGTCAGGCACTGAGCATTCGGTGGGGACTGAGCCAGAATGTGATTCCTGCCCTGGTGGAATTCACACTCGTATGTGACCAACAACCAGTAAACAAACGAATGGGTGGTGACAAGTGCCGTGGAGGCCACAGTGATGGAAAGGCCCATTAGGACAGTGGTCAGGGAGGTCCTCTCTGTGGAGGAGGCATCGCATGCGCAATGTCTCCAAGACAGGAAAGGGCTTGGTGGGCTGGGAATGGGGGTGGAAGCTGCTGTGGCTGGAGGTACCCAGGGGAAGGCAGAGGCCAGGTGTTGGGGGTTCATTCACAGCAGAGTGGGAGCTGCCAGAGGCCTCAGGCATAAGACCTGGTACCTGACTTCCGTGCGGGTTTCAGATCAGAGGGGAACGACAGACCCAGGAAAGCTGTTGGGAGGCTGCTCCTGAGGTCGCAGGAGTGAGGAAGGAGGGGAAGCTGGGAACCTGTCGAGGGATGACCAGACGTCATGATGAACCTGGGGACTGGAATAGGAGATAGTATTAACATACTGAAATTGAGACTTAAAAAACACAGACCAGGCGCGGTGGCTCACACCTGCAATCCCAGCAGTTTGGGAGGCTGAAGGCAGAGGATCGTTTGAGTTCAGGAGTTTGAGAGCCGCCTGGCCAACATGGTGAAACCCCGTCTCTACTAAAAATACAAAATTAGCCGGGCGTGGTGCTGGGCGCCTGTAGTGCCAACTACTCGGGAGGCTGAGGCAGGAGAGTTGCTTGAACCTGGGAGGTGGAGCTTGCAGCGAGCCGAGGTCCCGCCACTGTACTCCAGCCTGGGCGACTGAGCGAGACTCCGTTTAAATAAATAAATAAACAACGCACAAGCACAGCACCGAAGCGCAATGGCGACGCTCAGGGCGGCCCGCAGACTCCAGCCCTGGGCCTCTCCCGGCCTCAGCCAACGCAGCTTCCAGACCCGGAACTTTCGTGGTGTGGGGCGAGAGTCTGTTCCCACTACCTGAGCGGGGAGGGTAAGAAAGGACCACTTCCGGCGAGGGGCGGGAAAGACAGCGTCTTCCGGCGCGGCGGTTCCGGATAGCCGTGCGCTTTTAGTAAAAGATTGGGGTTCGCGCGGCGAGAACGGCTGCCCCGGGCCGTCTGGTTCTCGTCCCGCAGCGTCCGCTCCCCCGCGCCACTGCGCCGGGGAACCTCTGCGCCGCTCCCAGGAACCCTGTTCTCCGGGTCGCCGGCTTCTCTCCTGCCTCCGGTCCCGCCAGACACCTCGAGCTCCTTGAGTAGCTCGGTCCTTGAGGTCCCTGTGGGCCCTTCTCGCGTCTAATGCCTGAGCCCTCGGGCCCCTCTAGCCCTCTGTTCCCTCCCCTCTTTTGTTCCTCCCTAGAGCCCCGCCGCCCTCGGAGGCCCCCAGGGCTGACAGTGCGGACGGCGGGAGTTTCCTCGCTCCCCTGCTGGGATTGACTGACCGAGGGTTTAGTGACTGCCTGGATCTGGCTGATAGGGGGACCGAGAGGTGGCCTGGGCCGGGAATGTCCAGCTAGGGTCTTCCATGGAAGCCAGACATGAAACTGACAGGCCTAAGGGAAGCTAGGGAGCCCCCTCACCGCTCAGCCAGGGTGATGGACTGGACTGACGGACCCCAGTGAATTTGAGCTTGCCTGTCAGGCTGATCGGTTGATAGACAGCCCTGGACTGGCTCACTAAGACTGACCAGCCCGGGCCCAAGCAGTTCTGGGGTCCCAACCTGGGTGGAAGGTCTGAACTGATGACCCACCCAGGCTGACCAGACCAGCCCACCTCACTGACCTCCTAACCCCTGACCTCATCACCTGTGCAGCCATGGAGAAGATGTCCCGTGTGACCACAGCCCTCGGTGGCAGCGTGCTGACGGGTCGCACCATGCATTGCCACCTGGATGCTCCCGCCAATGCCATCAGTGTGTGCCGTGACGCAGCCCAGGTGGTCGTGGCAGGCCGTAGCATCTTCAAGATCTATGCCATCGAGGAGGAACAGTTCGTGGAGAAGCTGAACCTGCGTGTGGGGCGTAAGCCTTCACTTAATCTGAGCTGCGCTGACGTGGTGTGGCACCAGATGGATGAGAACCTGCTGGCCACAGCAGCCACCAATGGTGTGGTGGTCACGTGGAACTTGGGCCGGCCGTCCCGCAACAAGCAGGACCAGCTGTTCACAGAACATAAGCGCACAGTGAACAAAGTGTGCTTCCACCCCACTGAAGCCCACGTGCTGCTCAGTGGCTCCCAGGATGGCTTCATGAAGTGCTTTGACCTCCGCAGAAAGGACTCTGTCAGCACCTTCTCGGGTGAGGCCACAGAGGCGGGTCAGGGCAGGTGGGCATCTCTGCCAGTGCCCAGCCTGTCCATGCAGGCGGAGAAGGGCTCCGTGCATCAGAGGCCCTCAGGATCACTCACAGAGGGCTTTCTCAGGGGGAAAGGGAATCAGCACGGGAGGGTTGGGGCAGGTTGGGCTAGACTGCATGTGAGCCAGGGCAGTGAAGTGGGAAGAGGCAAGAGATGAGACCAACAGAAATTGAGGCTAGCTGTGGGGTAAGGGAGGGCAGAGCCCCAGCGGTCTCCCAGCCAGCCC